TGGCATGTGGTGCTGGGGGATTGAACCGCGGTCCCTGATGCTTTGCTAAGCTTGTTCTAAGTAGGTGCTTTAGACCACTGAGCCATCTCTCCAGCCCTGCTGCTTAATTTTCTGTAAACCTAAAAATGCTCCAAAATAAAGTCTATTCATTTCTTTTTTAAAAAAAGTATCCCCCTGATAGTTAAGAAGAGGGTTTCACTGGCAGATTCCTGTAAGACATCTGTTCTTTAATTTCCTTTTAAACATTGTAGAGTTCAATCATGAAGGAAATGAAACCTACAATTTAAAAGTACAGTCTGCAGAAAATGATAAACACGGGTAAGATTCTTTGGAACATTTAAATTCAGTCAAATTGATGTTTGTACTTTTTGTTGCAAAGGTATGGCAGAAAAATTCATCCTTTGGGAACACATGCATGGACAAGATAATGGCGTGCAGGTTCAACAGGGGACGTGATGCTTAGGTGGACAGCGTTGTCCATAGGAAGGAGGCCAATGAGGGTCACACGTTCATGGTATTTTCTCATAAAATTGCTGTCTTGCAGGAATTCTTACATCCAAGAAAAAATTATTCTTCACACTCATTTTAATTTGACTGCTTAGTTCAGGGTCTTCTTTTTTTTTTTTTTTTAATTTATGTATTTGGTACAGGGTCTTGCTACACAGCTTGGACTCATAGTGCTCCTCCTGTCTCAGCCTCCTCAGTGCTGGGAGTACAGGCATGAGCCCTGTTTTGGTGGCTGCCTCAGTTTGCCTGGGGTTCCAGGACTGGCACAGCAGGCGGTACCAGGCATAGAACCTGCATCCTTGTGCTTGCCAGGCAGGTGCTTAGACCACTGAACTATCTCCCTGGCCCCAGGGTCTTGTAATGTTACATAAGAGTTTTATTCACACTGCTCAAAAAAACGGAGGAGCCCTTTGGTTCTTCTAGGCAGTGGGCAAGCAGAGGTGTCCTTTATGTGCAGCCCTGCCTTTCAGACCTTGGGAACCTAACCTGCAGTAGCACCCCTTAAATTCTCCATCTCCCTGGTCCCTGCTGTGTCTTGGCAGAAGGCTTTGTGGTGTTTCCTCTGGAGAAAGGGGATTAGTTCTTCCTAAGCATGTTGTGTACACTTAGGTATTCACTGTGAGCTGCTTCCACTGCTTGCTCCGAGGTATGAGATGGCACTGACCCATTTCAGATAGTTACTCTACCCTAGATAGGTAACCGGCATTTAATTATTATAGTATAGCAGGGTTCAATGGAAGCCAAACTTTCTTTATCTCAGTGGATATATGATTTTCTTGGAGACACTTGAGTTCTCAGATTTTCTTTTTTAACATTTTAATTCTAAAACTCCATTGCAAAATGAAAACTATTTGTGTCTATTTTGAGAGTTTTGCCTCCAGGAAAATAGATGATCCAAATTCCAGTCTCTGTTCTGACTTAATACTGGGACCTAAAAGACCAATAATAGGAAAAATTAAGATACACTGGAGGGTGTATTGCAAGCCTGTGGATGTAAATTGCCTTTCTCTAAATGTGTCTCTAGTCTCCTTTTGTCTTGAAGTAGTTGGTGTTTGTCTGTATACACAGTCCACTGGGAGGTATTTGTAAAACTTGGATCCTTTTGCCTTGCTCCTAGCGTTTGACCATTTTATTGGTTACAATCCTCAATTCAAGGCACTATGGTGCCAAATTTCACTCTTTCCATGATGAGCCCCCCAACATATCTTGACATTTATAGTATCAGGCTTAATACTTTACCTTATTTCTACATAGCAAGCAGAGATCACTTTTCCTTAGCCCATAAGGAAAACAGGGGTATTCACTGTGAGATGAAGGTAAATTAATCTTCTGGAATAATTCAACAATCAACATGAAGTATTTTTTATAACTCTTGGAGGGCCAGTCAAATAGCTAAGTGGATTAAAGTGCCTGCAAGCAGGTGCAGGGGCCGGGGGTTCAATCCCTAGGTCAGCCCTGCTGGCCTCGCCCCCAGGGCTCACTGAGACAGCAATCGAGACTGGGCATGGTGGCGTGTGCCTGTAATCCCAGCACTTGGAAGGCTGTGAACAGGTGGATCACTATGAGTCCAGTGTAGTAGTGAGACCCTGAACACCGTGTAGACCCTTTCCTAAAATACAAAAATGAATAAATAAATAAATAAAAAAAAAATAACTCTTGGAACAAATATCACTGCTTGTGTTTGTGAAGTATTTATGACTTTTAAAATTTAAAACTAGGTTAATTTTTAAAAATAGAGCACTTTTCATGAAACTTCTAGAACTTGTTTCTTTGGAAGCAGATCTTGATTGTGTTGTTGTCCACAAGGGACTGGTCAGAAAGGAGAGTAATGATTAGGGCTTTTAGACGTGTCACTTTCCAAATGAAAATGTCCCCTGCAAAGGGCTTCTAATCACAGGTGTTTGAAATATCTGCCTGATAAGGCCTGAATCAGCAGGACATTGTCACAGAGCTATGAAGCACTGCTGCGTGAGGACGGATTTGCATCTTCTAAGCGTGGGGAAGACTTTCCCCTCCAGTAGCTTTCCGGTCTGCGTTTCAGTACTGTCAGCTCCGAGAGCTCCAGGGCCCTAGCACGCAGCGGAGGCGGGGGACACACGGACACCTACCTGAAGGGCATCCTTACATTCATTTGCTCTGCGTATCTTCCGAGGACCTCCCATGGGGCATGCAGCTTCACAAAGATAATGTCACTATTTATTAGAGAGGACTGAAACAGAAAAAAGAAGCTAAATTGAAAAGTATATCCACACATCTCATGGTTTGAATTGAGTTGGAACTCAGGACAGGGGGACTTGGATTGATTCTCTGACTTGGAGCCTTCTTCAGCTACAAACTGGGCTCTTAGGTGCACACAAACTCATTCTTAGACTTCCCACCAGGCCAGCAGGCAGCAGGGTCTGCACCTCATCCTCCCCACGCAGTGACGCCACCTTGGTGTAAGGTCAAAGGTCACTATGGCCTGTGTGTGGAGAATAACTTAGGAGCGAGGCTTGTGCTGCAAGCAGAGACAGGAGCTCTCTCAACCGTCCCGGGAAACCCAAAAGACAGCAGGATGGAGGTGAAGCACCAAGGACACGCGAGAGTTTAATCTCTGCGCCTGTCAGGCTAAGTGTTTCCAGAGAGCTGGTTCTTTGCCCCAGAGGAGGAGCTTTTAGCAGCACAGAACTTGGACAGGGAAGGAAACTAAGGCTTCACCCTGCCAACTGCTGAGGGTGGTCTGTGGCTCTTGTAGGAGAGGGTCGGAGAGCCGGCTGGGAAATTCCTCTTCCTGCACTGAGCCCAGGGAGAGGCAGCTGGAAGGAGGCAGCAGAAAGCCGGGGGCCAAACCCACCCAGGGGGGAGAAGAGGCCACTTAGTCACTTGCTCCTGCAGGCAGGCTGTAAGCCGTGGGAATTTTTATAATTGAAGAACATTGACTTTTCTTTTATAGTTCACAAAAACAGAAGCTCAACTTTATCTTTTCACTGGGGTAAGTCTGCACTCCAGGGAATGGTTTAATAAATTATATATGATATGCAATTGCAATTCATAGCTCATACGTCAATCCCTGGCTTCCGGTAGAGTTTATAAATATTGTATTTAAGCTTATATGAACTCATTAAGCTATCACAAAAGCCGAGGATGTAGCTCAGTGGCACAGTGGCAGCATGGCAAGCACAAGATCCTGAGTGCAGAGTTTGATTCTCAGCTCATGTGCGTGCACGCGCGCGCGCGCACACACACACACACACACACACACAGATATTGAAAAAACCAAGCCATGTCAACGGCAGTGTTCCCAGGAAGCGAGGGGCAGGAGGCCAGGGTCTGCCTCCACCCTCGCTGGTGATCTGAAACCATCGGACTTTCCAGCAGTTCAGGCTGGAATGCAGTTACAGCTTCCAGCTCGGGACAAGTGGTGTCACAGCTCCCGAGGACAAGGGGCCTCTCTGTGACTTGGCCTAGCGTGCTCCAGTCCGTGAATGTGGTGAGAGAACTGTGGACAGTGGGCCCTGGCATGATCTTGGCGGGCGTTCCACTGTGGCTGCTGGCAAAGCCACGCTGGGAGCCCACAAGCCACGCTGGGAGCCCACAAGCCACGCTGGGAGCCCACACCTTGGCTCACTATGAAAGAGGCACCTGCCTGTGTGTGAACTCCAGCAATGACACATGGCCTGTGCTTTGTCGCTTTTTTAAAAAAAATTCATTGTGTTGCTCCAAGCTATCTATCCATTTTGCTAACATCCATCACAGGGAATGTGTACCTGCGTGTGGTGTATCTTCCTGCCTCCCTTCTCCAGCTCCCTCCCTTCAGCCCGTCTTCCCTCCTTTACAAAAGCTTGCTTCCACTTCCCTTCTCTTCCTTTTCCCTCCCTGCCTTGTCCCCACCTTCCCCAATTCCCCTTCACATCTGAACACCTTATTCCATGACATATATTGTATGTGTTGGTTCCTATTTACTCTTTCACTTTCCCACACCAGACAAATGATGTGAAATTTAAATATGTGTGTCAAAGTATCATGCCTGTATCTTGTACTCTGAAAAACTGCTAGGAAGATAACAATATGCAGTGTATCAACGACTGGAACTGTCCTACTAATCTTTTTTGAAACTTGATTTCCTGCTTATAGTTATCTTTTACTCCTTAAAATTAAAAAGAAAAATATGTGTGTATGATTTAGAATGGATAAAGATGATGTGAGTTTTCTATACAATGGAGTACTACTCTGCCATGAAGAAGGATGAGCTGGAGATGTTTCTAGCTTTGTTTCTTTTAAAACTTTTTTAAACTCAGGAACTTATGCCACTTAATTCTCTTTGCAAAGGTGCTTCAAACTAAATGATCAGGGAGGCCATGGACTTCAATGTCTACATAGAACCTACAACAGCAACAACACACATACACACAGCCAGTAGCTGCAGCCTTGTGATATGAGATGGTGCCAAAGCACATCAGGAGAAGTGAGAGGCTCTGGGCTTGGAAGAGATTGCCACTGGCCTCTCAACCTACAGTACAATCTTCAAAGCAATGAAGCAGAATGTGGGTGCTCTTTCCTAAAATTGTTCTTTTTTGGTTTGCATTTTAGATACCCTTCAGAGTCTGGAAATGTTTGACTTTCTTGTTGAGGAATTTTAATCAAAATCAGGAATTCTTTAAGTTCATGGACAGGCTACAGTTTGTCCCTTGGCAGCCCAGGTGTTGAAGCTGGGTCTGCTTGGACTATTTGGAGGCACTGGAACCTTCAGGAGGTAGAGCTCAGTGGGAGGATCTTAGGACCCTGAGCGAGTACCCCCGAAAGGGGATGTTGGGCCTCCAGCCTTCTTTTCTCTTCGCTTGCTTCCCAGCTGCCATCCAGAGGGCAGATTTGTGCTGGGACATTTCCCCACCACTGTCTGCTGCCTCACACCAGGCTCCAAAGCAATGGATTGAAATTTCTGAAACCATGAGCCCAAACAGACCTTTCTGCTGTAATAAATCATTGCCTCAGGTATTCTGTCAGAGTAGCACAAGGTTGACTAGCACATGAGGCTTCCCGTGAGGTTCTTTTTCCTTCCGCCTATGAAATGTGAAGCTGGATGACACCAGAAGACAACACAAGGAGCGTGATGGGTTTGCAGAATCTGACCAGGTCACAGACTCACACCCACCTTGATTTAGAAGAATCTACCTCCTATCTATTCTAACTATTTTGTATTTGTATATACAAAATAAATATACAGCCATTTTCTCTTAATTCAATGAGAAGAAAGATTTGTACTAATAGTGTTTGGACAGGATATCCTGTCTGCATCTTGTACTATGGATAACCACTAAGAAGATAACAATGTACAATGTATTAATTATTGTAACTGTCCTACTAACCTGTTTTGAAAGTGTTTCATTGCTACTTCTTTCTCAATAAAATTAATTTTAAAAATTGAAAACAAAAGAATCCACCTCCTAGAGTGTAATTCTCTATGGATTACCATGACAGCTAGTTTTATGGAAAGTAAATACTCTAGAAGAGAAATAATCATTTTGGACAGTCTCTATGAATGTTGAAAACATTAGAAAGAATATACTGAACTATTTCACTGAAGGCCCATTTAAATGCCACCCTTCTGTGTGCGAAAAACCAAGTTTGCAGCCAGAACACAGACTCTGCCGACTGCCACTCGGATGCAGCAGCTCGGCATGGTGTGCCAAAAGCCCGGTTTAGTTCTGTCTTCAGCCCAAAGCAAAGAACTTCATCTTCTTATCATTTCCATCATAGCAGTAATGATGCCATCGTTTTATGTCTCTGGTGTCTTGAAGCACCTCCACTTGTTGCTGTTCCCACAGGAAGTCACAACAGAGGCCTCCCCCAACACCTTGGAGGTGGAGAGAGGGACAGCTTGCACGATGCATTCATGGCCGCGCTGAAGGTTTGCCCAGACACAGCTGATCCCAGACCCCCGGGCATCTCTTGATTCCCATGTGGATATCATCTACCACCTCCTGAGGCTTAAGGAAATCCACGGCCTTCAGGATGCAGTTAAGAGCACTGTTCTCTGAGCTGTCTCTCTTTCAGCATGCTTCAAGTCCTCGGGAAAGAATTTCCACTCCAGAAGGCAAGACTACTAAAGCAGAGAAGCACTCCTGCAGTGTAAAGCACACGGCACCTACCAGCGACCTGAGGTTGGGCTGGGGGTATATTTATTTTAATGATCTTAAGAAAAATGTGATGTTTGGTTATTTGTGGCTCTCGTGTGTGTGTGTGTGTGTGTGTGTGTGTGTGTGTACAAATCCCTTTTACAAGCTTGATGGAAAATTTAGTGTATGGGTTCTACTCCTTCTATTCAGTTTAACAAGGACCGAGAAGGCACGGGCTCTTCTTACTATGGGACACCTGAAAAATGATTATGGAGCAGATGGTGACTAATTATATGGCTCAGCTCTCACTCTTTACTGCTGGACAATTATGCTGCTGTTTCTAAATAAATCTCCATTGTTCAGTGTTCCTGTCCACGTAAATGGGAGCGTCCGAGTGAAGGGACGCGACAATCATTTTTATGAGACACGGAGTTGTGTTGTTAACACACCCCAGTGGAATTCCCTGAGATTAGACCTTTGGAGAAAAGGAAGAACCACAGTTTAGTGCAGTTTGGAAAAGTATGCTTGGATGGATGACTGAAGAAAGTAATAAATAGCACTTGAAAATAGATAAAGATGCATAGAAAATGTTTCTTACTTAATTCAGCAAGAATAGACTGAACACTTTCTATGTACTACATGTTTGGAATGTAGTGATCCATAAATCACAGCGTGTGTCTTGGTAGGTGACGATTTCATATGGGAAGATCAGATTGAGCAACAGGAAAGGAGGGAGAGAGATGGAGAGAGAGAGAGAGAGACAGAGAGAGACACAGAAAGACAGAGAGAGACAGAGAGACAGAGAGAGGAAAGAGGGAAAGGGAGAGGGGAGAGGGAGAGGGGGGGAGGGAGGGAGGGGGAGAGAGAGAGAGAGAGAGAGAGAGAGAGAGAGAGAGAATAGAGAAGCTGTCACTTCACCTTTGAAGCACAACTCCTAATTCCATAACCTGCAACACCCTTTCCTGAGAAAAGGAAACTGAGCGTGTGAAGCTCCACCGACAAATCAGAAGCTCAGGTTTGGAGATGTTAAGTCCAAGTTGTGATGGGAAGACATCTTGCGGAGCGTGAGGCAAATGAGCCCAGAGCTTACAGGAGCATCCAGGGCCAGAGACTT